ACGACGATTTGCAAAAAACTTTACGTACCCGACGCTGATGCTTACGTATAGCCATCACCGGTGTAGTGGTTGTTGTTGTGGTGCTGCTGTTGGTGCTATTAGCAGACACTTTGGTCCCTGTGCTGTTGAGCGCCGTCCGACTCGAGCCGATCATCGATTCCTCATCGCTTCTGCAAGACTTGTGGTCCAATTCGTCGTCGATGTCGTAGTCGTCGTCGTCGTTATCTTTAGGACAGCACGCCTTAGAGCAGGCCTGATATGCCAGTAGACAGACAATAAGGAACGACACCTCGAGTATGATCTCCAATATCTTTTCGTCTGTATTTTCGTCTTTGGTTACCGGAGTCGAGGCCGACGACACCGACGATGATGATGACGACGATGTCCAGTATGTCGGCTGTCGAGTAATCCTATTGGTCTTGACCTGAACATCGCCGCTACCGTTAGGCTTGCCGTTGTCACCGCCGCCGGGACTGATGACATTTGCAACTACGACATCCCGTTTGTTGCTATAGTTGTTTGTCTCGCATCGGCCGTTATGTTTGTTCCACTGTTGTCCGACTGGACAGCCCTTATTGTTTAGGTGTTGGCATTCATTGGCTGTACGATTAAAGCGATGGTCTGGTGGACACATACATGTCTTTTGTTTGCCATCATCGTCGTCGTCGTCATCATCATCTGCCCGATTGACTGCACAGTCGAGTCCGGTTCGACACTGACCAGCCGTTTGGCATCGTCTACCGTAACCGAACCTATCGACGCATCGACCAGTGGTTTTGTCGTACCAAAACTGCTGCAGACACTGACACCGCCACTGACGGTATGTGCCGTCAACAGACAAACAGGCCGTATGTGGTGTCCGGCACTGCAGAGACGATACACACGACTCGTTCACACCGTGTCTGAGACGCAAACATTCGCCCGTAGCGGTGGCCGTACGCACAAACCCCGGCCGACAGACACACTGTTTGAGTTTTGTATCACAAATGGCCGACATTTGGTCGCACCCTGTCTTCGGGTATCTACGATAATCACATTTTTGATTGGCGGCGGCGGTGGCTGTCAGCGGCTGCGGCGGTGGCGAAGATATACCATTTATGGTCAGTGAACTGCTTCGACCGGTTGACCATAATTGCAGAAAAATTATAAAATACCAGGAAATCGATAATAACTTATTCATTGGTATTATTTGTTTGTTAGTTATCACTTAAATCATTAAATAACTATTAATATTATTAATATTACTTATTATTATGATTATTTAAACTATAGTATAATAATTTCAAAGCCCAATTGGGTGGGGGTCTCATAAAATTTTTTCATCAAAAGAAAATTTTATAATTTAAATAAATATTTTTAAATAAAGATTTTTGAACAAAATTTATTTTTGATAAAATCTATTTTATTAACATTAATTCATATTTTTTATTAATATTAGTTTTTCATATAGTTGTATATTATTATTATTAAATAGTTTATTTTAGTAATTTTATTTATTAAAATTGCATTTATTATTATTATTATTAACTCAAATTTAATTGATATAATAAGTTTATCAATATATTAAAACACTTATTTTTAGTCTATTTGATGTCCATTACTATCTCACCAACAATACATACATAAAGTCTATTATCATTGCAATTGTAATACACAAAGAATATTCTGTAAATAATTTTTTTGAAAAGCAGTCGTTTGAGGAAAAATTCTGTCTTTATATACTACTACTGCTGTTATTATTATTATTATAGTTGTTATAGATTTCGCTTATTAAATGCAATGTATTAGAGACAACAACGTCAGTGAACTTTGAATTAAACTATATATATATGTATGTGTGGAGCACATAGAGAATTGTAGGAGTGAGCTCCTGCTACTGATGCTGGTAGAGTATGGATGGGTATGTGTTTGTGTTATGAATAAAACACATATATATATATATATACTATATAAATAAATATATATATATATCTATATTATATATATATATATATAAATAACAATTGCGAGAGAGATTCTTCCGCATTCTGGACGGTTAGTGAGATTGCGTGTGAGATCCCCGACACAGACACCCACGCATTTTTTGGGGATACTATGTGTTTTCTATATACAAGTGCCCAGATATATGTACAAGTGAGTGAGTGAGTGAGTGAGTGAGTGAGTGAGTGAATGTGTGTGTTTATGTGAGTAAAAAATGATATATATATATATAGACAGATAGATAGATAGATAGATAGATAGGGAGAGAGAGAAAGAAAGAGAGAGAGATGTTGTTGAGCTTAAAAAAAGATTTACTAAAAAATAATAGTCACTAACAACTAGTCTACCATTTGTTTGAATCATTCAACTTAAAAAATATTAAATTATTATTATTATTATCAGATTATACAGTATATAATTTTAGATATAATATAAAAACTATTGGTTTTTGAGTGAATGAGAGAGTGATAAATCGTTTTTGTTTAAATTATAAACATTTTTTTCATTAAATAATATTATTACTATTAATAATACCGTATTTATAATATTTTAATTGGCAATTAAATTGAACTAATTTACAATAAATTTATTATTTAGGCTATAAATTATAAATTTATAAATTATATAAAAATATAAAATTAAAAAAATATATAAAGATAATAAACAATTTATACTTTATTGTATATATAATAATAATAATAATACCAAAATATTTAAATAAATAATTGCAAAATATAACATAATATAAATAATATAAAATAAATTTAATTCTACATATTTTTGATGATAAAGAAACACAAATAATTATTTCATAAACTATTGTTGTAAATAAATATTTTTAATGTAAATCAAATAATATATATAAAATTAATAATTAAAAAAATTTAAAAATTTAATTATAAACAATATAATTATACAATTATAATACAGTATAATAATAAACTAATAATTAATCTTTAATATCTAGATAAATTTATTCTATTAATTTAAAATATAAATATGTTTATATAGAATTTTATTTAATAAAATAAATAAAAATATGTTATAAAGTTTTACTAATGTTAGAAACAATGTTTTTATTTTGATCATAATTTACTTTAAAAATTAAAAAATAAGTATTTTTACAATAAGTCTATTTACAATTGTTCACATTAATTAAAATCACAATTAATTGTTGTAATTGATAGTTATAATATAATTTAATGATAACATATTTAATAATATATTATATTTTTTGTTGAAATAAATAAATGCAAATTAATATTTTTTTTATTAAATTTCAAATTTATTTATTAGAATAATATGTAATTTACTATTTATGAAATATGTATCACAAAATTATATATATATATTATATAAAATATAATACAGATATTAAATATAAATTTGTAATTAACAAAATATATTATATTATTATTTTTCTTATCATAGTTTAATAAAGTATTTAAATATATATATTATAGACAGATATAAAAATTATTATAATAATTATTATTTTTTACAATATCTATATAATTACGACATCTATTGTTTGAAAAAATATTTATATCTTACTTTAAAAGAGTACAGTTTTAATAAACTATAAACTAGCTAGATTAAATAGTTTAAAATTAGATTAGTTTAACTTTAAATAAATATAATTGATTAGTTTATTTTTTAGACAATTATAGAAACAATAATATAACTAATTAATTTATAATAAATATTGTGTTTTATTAAATATTTATTTTTAATTAGATAATTTACTAATAGTTAATAATAAAATATCTAAAAATATCTAATTTTCACTAACTTATTCAATATAATTTTAAACTATTATAAGATATTTAATATTTTTAAAATAACTTAATATTATTAGTATTAGCTGTAATAAAATACTAGAAAATATTCATAAATTATATTATATTAATTTTTTGATATCTAATGTAAATAAATATATCATTACTAACAGTATTTATAAGTGTTATATGAAATCTATTTAAACAAAAAACATCTTAAAGTAAATTAATAATTAATTTTATCTATTAATACATATATTAAAATAAAACAATTTACAATGTTATTAATAGTTAATAGTAAGTTATTATTTTGTATTTTTTAAATAATAATTTAATAGCAATTAAATTACATAAATTAAAATTTTCACTTTTCATAAACTTATAATAATATCTATAGTATTGTTGAATGTATTGTTGTATGCAATGAGTGTTTCATCGGTTGTTCATTCAGTGATCAAACACTACCCGAATGTAACACTCATTGATTATGGTATATTATATATATAATTAATCAAAATTCACCGACAATTTATGTTTTGTTTAAGTTTTAATACATGTTTGTGATCAGAAATACGGTAAATCAGTTTACTTTAAAAGAGTACAGTTTTAATAAACTATAAACTAGCTAGATTAAATAGATTAAAATTAGATTAGTTTAATTTTAAATAAATATAATTAATTAGTTTATTTTTTAGACAATTATAGAAATAATAATATAATTTATTAATTTACAATAAATATAATCTTTTATTAAATATTTATTTTTAATTAGATAATTTACTAATAGTTAATAATAACTAAAAATATCACTAAATTATTCATATAATTTTAAACTATTAAAAGATATTTAATATTTTAAAAATAACTTAATATTATTAGTATTATCTGTAATAAAATATTCATAAATTATATTATATTAATGTAATTTTTTGATATCTAATGTAAATAAATATATCATTACTAACAGTATTTATAAGTGTTATATGAAATCTATTTAAACAAAAAAACATCTTAAAGTAAATTAATAATTAATTTGATCTATTAATACATATATTAAAATAAAACAATTTACAATGTTATCAATAGTAAACAGTAAGTTATTTAAATAAATTGATTTTGTATTTTTTAAATAATAATTTTATAGTAATTATTACATTAAATTAAATTACATAAATTAAAATTTTCAATTTTCATAAACTTATAATAATATCTATAGTATTGTTGAATGTATTGTTGTATTCAATGAGTGTTTCATCGGTTGTTCATTCAGTGATCAAACACTACCCGAATGTAACACTCATTGATTGTGGTGTCGGACGGGAATCACTACTAATGACCGGTCAGTGCATACACTCATATGATTGGACTAAACCTATTGAAAACGGTAGACAACTGGAAACGGCAGAAATGCCATGGATTGTCTTTATTATAGTCAATAGAAATGGCAAAGAGTTTAGTCAAAAATTATTATAATTATGATTTTAGTTTAAATAATAAAATATATTTAAATTTATTAATTGACTAATATTTTTGATTAATCAAAACCAATAAATATATATTTAGTTTCTCTGGTAGTGGTGTTGTATTGAACAATAACTGGATCATCACATCCGGACATTTACTATTGTAATTAAAATCTAAGTTTTTATGTATTATTTATTTTTTGTTTGTTTGTTATTATATGTTTGATTTCGATTATATAACTTTATATAAAAAATTCTCAATTTATAATGTAATTATTTTTGAATAATTTATTTATTTGTATAAACAATAACTTATTTTAATTAATAATTAGGTGTCGATATAATCCGTGTAAAGTCAGTAATATCCGCATATATACCGGCAATCAAGACATCAACCATTTAACAGATTATCACACAATTGACGACTATTTCATTCCCAATGAGTTTAGAAAAGGATATCAAATGTCTTATGATTTGGCACTCATTAGACTCAGTAAACCATTGAATTTGATGTCAAACACCGAATATAAGACAATTAATGGCATTTGTTTGCCGAAAGAGGATATTATTAACACAAACGATGAGTTGGCACTAATTGCCGGTTACGGGGCTATCAATGATACGACAAAACTTAAGGGTAGACCACATATGGGTTGGTTGAAGATTATGAAACCCGTGTTTGATAGCAACGATTCTAACGGAACTATGATTACAGCTGAGCGCACACCGGGAGGTTCAATGACGTGCAAAGTAAGTGAATATATTTGAATATCTTATGCCTTGTTTGGCCACACATTACAATAAAATATATAATAATATAATTGTTATATATTTAGGGTGATTCCGGTGGACCACTACTCCAGTACATCAATGGTAGGGCTGTACTCATTGGTGTCACTAAAGGAGGAATAATGTCTAACTATTGCCCTAAAATTAGTTTTCAGACATACTATATACGACTGTCCAAACATATTGAATGGATTAAACAAATTGTTTGTCAATAATAATAATAATAATAATAATAATAATAATAATAATAATAATAATAACAACAATACAATTGAAAATTATTGATTTATACTATTTTAAATAAAATACACATTTGTAACTAATATAAAATAATTTATTTTTTTATACCGATATTATACCAATGTTAAATTATTAATATTCAAAAAAAACTTGAAAAGTTTTGTTTTCTGAAATCTATACGAGCCTTTTTTGTGTGTGTGTGTGTGTGTGTGTAGCATTTTTTTTGCGAATTTTGAAATTCTGACTTCAGATTCGGTTAGAGGACTACTAATAATGTATTGAAAAGTTGCATTAAAATTTTGATATCTCTTCGGGAACATAGACAAAATGGCGGCCAAAGTAAAGAAAATTTTAAGAAAATTTTTTTAAGTATAGATTTGAATAGAGCATCAAAAGTAAGCATAAAAATATGCATTAAAATTTTGATATCTCTTCGGGAACATAGAGAAAATGGCGGCCAAAGTAAAAAATTTTAGGTAAAAATTTTAACGTTTAGAATTCTATCAAAGAAGAGCATCAAAAATAAGATATAATAGATCAAAATTATTATTTTATTTTAAATAATGGCGGCAAAAGTATGATTTTACCTGTTCATTTTGTTATACTTAATATTTATAATATATAAATAATTATTGAGTCAATATTTATATTATATAAATAATTATTGAGTCAATATTTATAATATATAAATAATTATTGAGTCAACATTTATAATATATAAATAATTATTGAGTCAATATTTATATTATATAAATTATTGAGTCAACATTTATATTATATAAATAATTATTGAGTCAATATTTATAATATATAAATAATTATTGAGTCAATATTTATAATATATAAATAATTATTGAGTCAATATTTATAATATATAAATAATTATTGAGTCAATATTTATATTATATAAATTATTGAGTCAACATTTATATTATATAAATAATTATTGAGTCAATATTTATAATATATAAATAATTATTGAGTCAATATTTATATTATATAAATAATTATTGAGTCAATATTTATAATATATAAATAATTATTGAGTCAACATTTATAATATATAAATAATTATTGAGTCAATATTTATAATATATAAATAATTATTGAGTCAACATTTATAATATATAAATAATTATTGAGTCAATATTTATAATATATAAATAATTATTGAGTCAATATTTATAATATATAAATAATTATTGAGTCAATATTTATATTATATAAATAATTATTGAGTCAATATTTATAATATATAAATAATTATTGAGTCAATATTTATATTATATAAATAATTATTGAGTCAACATTTATAATATATAAATAATTATTGAGTCAATATTTATATTATATAAATTATTGAGTCAACAATTATATTATATAAATAATTATTGAGTCAACATTTATATAAATTATTGAGTCAACATTTATAATATATAAATAATTATTGAGTCAATATTTATATTATATAAATTATTGAGTCAACATTTATATTATATAAATAATTATTGAGTCAACATTTATATTATATAAATAATTATTGAGTCAACATTTATATTATATAAATAATTATTGAGTCAATATTTATATTATATAAATAATTATTGAGTCAACATTTATAATATATAAATAATTATTGAGTCAACATTTATATAAATTATTGAGTCAACATTTATATTATATAAATTATTGAGTCAACATTTATATTATATAAATAATTATTGAGAACATTTATATTATATAAATAATTTATGAGTCAACATTTATATTATATAAATAATTATTGAGTCAACATTTATATAAATTATTGAGTCAACATTTATATTATATAAATTATTGAGTCAACATTTATATTATATAAATAATTATTGAGAACATTTATATTATATAAATAATTATTGAGTCAACATTTATATTATATAAATAATTATTGAGTCAACATGTAAGTCTAATTTATTTTATAATTACAGTGAATAAGTGCTAATATAATAATATTTAAATAAATATTTAATTTTTGTTTTGTGTTAAATAATTAATTACGTCAACATTAAATATTTGGTCAACATTAAATATTGGGTCAACGTTAAATATTGCGTCAACATTTAATATCACTATAAATAGAGACAAAAATTAATTTCAATTTTCAGTTCGAGTCGAGACATCGAAGAGACAACATGTAAGTATAATTTATTTTATAATTACAGTGAATAAGTGCTAATATAATAATATTTAAATGAATATTTAATTTTTGTTTTGTGTTAAATAATTAATTACGTCAACATTAATATTACGTCAACATTAAATATTGCGTCAACATTTAATATCACTATAAATAGACAAAAATTAATTTCAATTTTCAGTTCGAGTCGAGACACCGAAGAGACAACATGTAAGTCTAATTTATTTTATAATTACAGTGAATAAGTGCTAATATAATAATATTTAAATAAATATTTAATTTTTGTTTTGTGTTAAATAATTAATTACGTCAACATTAAATATTGGGTCAACGTTAAATATTGCGTCAACATTTAATATCACTATAAATAGAGACAAAAATTAATTTCAATTTTCAGTTCGAGTCGAGACATCGAAGAGACAACATGTAAGTATAATTTATTTTATAATTACAGTGAATAAGTGCTAATATAATAATATTTAAATATTTAATTTTTGTTTTGTTTGTTAAATAATTAATTACGTCAACATTAAATATTTGGTCAACATTAAATATTGGGTCAACATTAAATATTGGGTCAACATTAAATATTGGGTCAACGTTAAATATTGCGTCAACATTTAATATCACTATAAATAGAGACAAAAATTAATTTCAATTTTCAGTTCGTCGAGACATCGAAGAGACAACATGTAAGTCTAATTTATTTTATAATTACAGTGAATAAGTGCTAATATAATAATATTTAAATATTTAATTTTTGTTTTGTTTGTTAAATAATTAATTACGTCAACATTAAATATTTGGTCAACATTAAATATTGGGTCAACGTTAAATATTGCGTCAACATTTAATATCACTATAAATAGAGAAAAATTAATTTCAATTTTCAGTTCGAGTCGAGACATCGAAGAGACAACATGTAAGTCTAATTAATTTTATAATTACAGTGAATTAGTGCTAATAAAATAATATTTAAATAAATATTTAATTTTTGTTTTTTGTGCTAAATTATTAATTGCGTCAACATTAAATATTTGGTCACATTAAAACAATTAATTTCAAATAAATATTTTTTAGATAAAAAATCATGTCTGATTCAGGAAACGAAGATGTCGTTAAAAAAAAGCGAAAAAATTCGGCAGATAAAAAAAGAATTGCTGAAAAACGTCTTAAAGATAAAAAATCACGTGATCGTGAAAAAGAAGCAAATAAAGTAAGGATGGCTGAAAAACGTCTTAAAGATAAAGAAACACGTGATCGTGAAAAAGAAGCAAATAAATTAAGGATGGCTGAAAAACGTCTTAAAGAAAAAGAAACACGTGATCGTGAAAAAGAAGCCAATAAACAAAGGATGGCTGAAAAACGTCTAAAAGATAAAGAAACACGTGATCGTGAAAAAGAAGCCAATAAACAAAGGATGGCTGAAAAACGTCTTAAAGATAAAGAAACACGTGATCGTGAAAGAGAAGCCAATAAACAAAGAATGGCTGATAAACGTTTTAAAGATAAAGAGACACGTGATCGTGAAAAAGATGTTAAAAAACAAATTAAAGAAATAAAACAAAATCATACAAATATCAAAAAATTTGAAGAAGCAAAGTTATATGGTCCGACAGAAATCTGTTCTTGTTGTGGATGTTTATGGTTTAAAACTCAAATTCGTCCTATTAACATTATTAATTTCATAAAATTGAATGACAATGAGAAAACACAAATCGATTTCTTTAATTTAAAAGAAAATTGTCAATTTTGCAATACCTGTTATCAAGACATATTAAAAGCAAAAATTCCTCGATTATCTTTATCTCATGGATTGATGTTTCCAGAAATACCAGAATGTCTTAATAGTCTTAATGACTTAGAAGAAAGGATGGTGTCCGCACGAATAATATTCGAAACAATATTACATTTACCAAGAGGTGGTCAGTATAAAATGAAAGGAAACGTTGTAAACGTTCCAGTAGATCCAAATTCAATGCTTCCATTATTGCCAAGAATTGACGATGAATTGCACATTATAAGAGTACAATTAAAAAGACGAATAAGTGATCCTTCACGATTAGATAACAAAGACTTGTATAAAACTGTTAGACCTCACGAGTTAAAGATAGCACTTAATTTTTTGATTAAACAAAGTGCCTATATAAATGCTGGTGTTAAACTAAAACAAGACTGGTATAAACGATTTCCCAAAGACTTTTCTCAAATAAATGAATTAGAAGAAGACACAAAGACTGCTATCATTAATGATGACGAATCTGATAATGTTGGATGCTTAGATACTCTTTGGGATAGTGAAGATCCACAAGTTGGAGTAGCATACGCTCCTGGGGAAGGAAAAAAGCCTTTAAATATTTTGATTGATATTAATGCAGCTTCATTGGCATTTCCTAAACTATTTGCCGGACAAGAACGCCCATTAATTACCAAAACTATGCGATTTTCAGTCGCAGATTTCGCAAAATCAGAATTAAGAAGATATGATCGCCGATGTGCTGAAAATATTCCATATCTTTTTTTTACATTTAAACGAAAACAATGGAATGAGGCTATAAGTGCAACAAATATTTTTAAACGAAAAATAAAAGGACAATCTGAATGGTCAGTTAATGATGCGCTAGACAGCACTAAAGTTAATCAAGCTATTGCATCAGACAAGGCATTTAAAAGCATGTCGAAACTTAGAACAAGTCCATCTTATTGGGAACAAAAACGTGACGAAACCATAGCAATGATACGACAACTTGGATTGCCTACTTTATTTTTTACTTTATCCGCTGCTGAATCATCTTG